ATTAATGAAATGCTGCAGCGACACTAGAGAACTGTTGCAGAACGAAAGTGCAGTTACGAAGCACACCTTTTTTTCTGCATCCACTCTATCCAGAACAATATCCAGTACAGCTAAAGTGCCAGCACGGTGGATTCCTGTTGGGCACATAAAGCATATTGGGCCCGTACTGTCACCTCTGACTTTACGAACGTTCCAGTTTTTGGCCTGGAAATTTAGCTCCAATGCTTGAGCATTCACGGGACAGAATGACACCCAGGTAGCGGCACTCACCAAAATTTTTAGTGCGATCGTGCGTTTTTGCAGCCTAAAGTTTGTTGTATCCCTACACGAGAAATTTGCGTGTGAGAAAGAACCAGGCAATATTCTCACAAAATTTAAACTCTCACCTGCATGACTGCCGAGAAGGTAAGATGACGGCAGCTTTGCAATTTGAACATTTGATATGTCCGTACGCGGAGCTTATGGGTAAGCAAAAGCCCATTTTACGTTTATTGGTCCCCCAAATGAGCAACAAACATCATCAGAAAAATTCTGCTTTTTTGCTCAGTCTGATTATTGGCTTAACCGGGAGCCAAACTAAAATTTTACCTGCACGCATGCTAGACTGGGCGTGCTTTAAAGTTGAATTTGAAATATTTTGGTCCCACACAGACACAATACCCTCGTAGAATTTCAGCTCCCTAGCATGGCTGGCTGGCGAAATAGCTTTTCATTACAAATATCTTTCATGTGCGTGATCAAGCGATACAGGCAAAAGTCAAAATCCATTTTATGAAAAACAAATATTTTCATAAAGTTACAGCGCTCTGATAAACACGGTTTCCGAGTGGGCGTTTTACCAACGATGTCTCAGTGTCATCTTTGATTTGCCTACACACGTGACGTAGGCATGCGTTAAAGCTGAATTTGGAACTTTTTGCTCACACAGCGACATGAAACATCCTTGCGAAATTTTAGCTTCCTGTTTTGTCCGCTTCCCGAAACCATTTCCCCCCCCCCCACCCCCAA